TCATGTATGACCGTATCTACCACCGAGGCTAGCATTCCCTACGGCCTTGAACATGTTCTTCCTTCTTCTCTCCTATGTGCTGAGTCATGTATGACTGCATCTACCACCGAGGCTAGCATTCCCTATGGCCTTGAACATGTTCTTCCTATGTGCTGAGTCATGTATGTGCATCCACTGTCTTCATCTTGACGGCATCTCTGTGAGGTGCAATTGTTCTGAAACTTCAGCGAGGTTACAATGGTGTCCGGCAGGCTGTACGCACCCCAAAGTATTAGGTTCTATGATTGATCATCATTGTATGACCGCGGGCAAGTAACTGCACCTCTCTTTCATCTCTCTGAGGCTCCATTTCACAACGTAAAAAAAGAGAGACTGTTTTTGAAAGAGCCTTACTCATAGGACCCAACCAATTCCTGTTGAGCACACTTAGATCCATGGTGACCCCATGTGTGTTGGAGGAGAACCTGTCAAATCTTCATAGATTTGTCCAGGGCTGACTTTCCGGAAGTCGATCACCAGACCTTTCCTCGGAGGGACCTCTGTGTGGACTCCACTTCCACCTTGTGCTCAGGAGCTGAACACATTACCCCACCCAGGAACTCCTGACTCTGAGTAGGTGCTCCCCACGCACCAGTTTTCCCTTCTCCGGAATCTTCCCGTCTAAAGCGGGAGAAGCAAAGCAACCGACAGACTCATTGTCACTGAGCCGAAGGGACCGTGTAGGAGAGAGCAGACTGCCCGTGGAGTGTCCTGTGAGAGAGGCTGGTGGTTTCTCGTTCTATTCTTTAAATCATTTTATCGGGGCTCTTACAGCTCTTCCCACAATCCATGCATCCATTGTGTCAAGCACATTCGTACATAGGTTGCCATCATCATTTTCAAAACATTTTCTTTCTACTTGAGCCCTTGGTATCAGCTCATTTCTACCCTCCATGCGCCTTATAAATTGTTATTTTTTACCTGTCTTACACTGACTGATGTCTCCCTTCACCCACTTTTCTGTTGTTTGTCCCCCTGGGAGGGGGTTATATGTAGATCATTGTGATTGGTTCCCCTTTTCTCTCCCCACCTTCCCCTTCCCCTCCTGGTATTGCTACTCTCATTCTCGGTCCTGCGGGGTTTATTTGTCCTGGATTCTCTGTGTTGTGAGCTCTTATCTGTACCCGTGTACATGCTCTGGTCTAGCTGGATTTGTAAAGCAGAATTGGGGTCATGATAGTGGGGGTGGGTGGGGAGGAAGCATTAAAGAATTAGAGGAAAGTTGTATGTTTTATCAGTGCTATATTGCACCCTGATGGCTCATCTCTTCCTTGTGACCCTTCTGTGAGGGGATGTCCAATTGTCTACAGATGGGCTTTGGGTCTCCACTCCGCCCTCCCCTTATTCATATTGATATCAATTTTTGTTCTGCCTGATACGAGGCTGGTGGCTTCAAGGTCCTGGCCTTTCAGTTCGCAGACAAGCACTTCACCAGGACACCACCAGGGCTCCTTAAAGAGCTAGAGACATTTGACAAACGTCTAGTGCTCCCTTCTCCATTGGATAAAGCCCTTTGCCCCTTTATTCAGCCAAGACAGAGATGGAGTTTTTTAAAAGGTAGGAAGCCCTGGGCGAGGGAAATGGAACACAAAGAGTAGTAAGGAGGTCCCAGAGCGTTGTGGCCAGATGCACAGAAACTTCCGGCATCCCCAGAGCACTGCGAGACATTTCCTCCCAAGAAGGCACGGCGGCCACCTTGGAATCAAATGACAGGTCTGAGGCCTTGCCTGTCCCGGCTTGCCCAGTGCCACAGAGTCCAGACGCAGTGCTGGGGCCGTAACTACACTCAATTGTCCCGTCAGGGGCCCTTCCCCGCTTCGCCTGCTTCACAGAGGCAAACCCCCAGAGAATTCCTCTCGCAGAAGAAAAGGGCGCTGAAAACAGGATGATAAATGGCACCTGGCAAGTGGAGACAAAGGGGAGGAAGGCTGACCTTGGTGAACTTGCGTCTGCTCCAGCAGTTGGTTGCCATTCAGGCACGGGAGCCCCCCAAACCAGGTTTCCAAGAGAAGCTCAAACTCAGTTTCAGAAAAATGTGCCCCTTTCTACATCCTGGTGAGGAAGTCAAATAATTGACAACAAAACTAACCAAACAACAACTCCCCACAACAGGCAACACTCGGTGGGCCACGCCCAAGTCTATCTGTGGGCTGTCTTTGGTCTGGGTTTGGCCTACAGGCCACCAGTCTGCATCCTTGACGCTAGCCAAGAATGTTTGGTTCCTGACCTATGTCCCTTAATGTCCCTCATCCATGGCGAGAGGCCTCCCAGGGGCGGGGCCTAGAGGAGCAGGGGTCTTTGTCTGCCAGGGTCGAGTCCCGAGGTTTACAGGAACAAAGCGTGCATTTTCTAGGGCCCCAGAGGTGCAGCAGGCCCCTCCTGGACCCAGATGAAAAGAACGTTGAACCAGCTCCTCCCTTGGTGCCCTGGCCCTTTGTAGCCTCTGCTCAGCGGATTCTAGGAGAAGCTACAGACCAACAGGGAGGTTTCGCAACAGGAGGCTGTGCTTTTTTGCTGTGACTGGGCTGTTCTCCACAATGGCTCCTCCCGGCATCATCTCTCTGTCTGAAGCCTGCTAGAAGGGCCAGGGAGGGCCCCGGTGGTGGGCTTTCTCTGCCCTGTGCAGGGTCTGCTTTGCTGGCGATCCATCTGGCTTCTGGCTTCAGTACCTCCTGTACCTTGTCTCAAAGCTAGAGACCCCCATCACGTCCTGCCTATGAGCTCCTGTCACGCTCTGAGGCCTGATCAGCCCATCCTTCCCCATCAATTAATGATCACTTTTTATGAAGCATCTCCTAGCCAGGCCTCCCGTTGCATATGCAGTAGCTCACTCAAGCCTCATAACCCGCCGTGAGCTAGGACATACGATATGATCTACTCTATTTTCCACATGAGGAGACTGAGGCTCAAAGAGGTGAGGTGAGCTTGCCCAGAGTCATACAGCTAACGTGTGTGCTACTGGGCATCTAAGCAATACCAGGCATGACTGATATTTTGGATTGGTGCTCCAGCCAGGACAGTTATTAAATATTCTGAATAAATATTGCCCCTGCTTTTAAAAAATATCCTGCATATTATCCTGGGAAGCTCTTTATCAGTGTTTCCTAAAGTGGGAGATATGACTTGCTGGGGGATACTGGAATGACCCAGAGGGGTGGCAAAAGCAGATGCCTACCCTTTATCCTCGATTCTGGACTACAGTAGAAACATTTTTAATTGCCGAGGAGGTTCTGAGTTAAAAAAAAAATTTTTTTTTCTGAAAAAAGGCAGTAGACCAATTAAGTTTAGGAATCTATCAGCTAGAGGTTAAACACTAGGTCTGGCAGTTCGAACCCACCTGCTGCTGCATAGGAGAAAAATGAGGCTCTGTTTTACAGATTTGTAGTCTTGGCAACCCAGTACAGGGGAGCTAGGAGTGAGAATCTACTCAGGGGCAGTGGGTTTGGGGTGGGTTCCCCAGACCTGGAGCCTTGAGGGCCTTTCTCCCATCCACCTCCAGGGATGACGAATCCAGAGGTGATTCAGAACCTGGAGCGAGGCTACCGCATGGTGCGACCAGACAACTGTCCCGAGGAGCTGTACGCCCTCATGACGCTGTGCTGGAAGGAGCGCCCGGAGGACCGGCCCACCTTTGACTACCTGCGCAGTGTCCTGGAGGACTTCTTCACAGCCACAGAGGGCCAGTACCAGCCCCAACCTTGACGGGCCTGGTGACCGGGCCCGAGAAAACTTCCCGCATCTAGCCACCTGCATCTCAGCCTGACTCCGGGGGTGCAGTTTGAGTGCTCTGCTCACTCGGCCTGTGTACTTCAGGACTCTGCACCCATGGGCACCCTGTCCACATGTACCACACACACATCTTGGTCTCTGTACATGTCTGTATTCCTGTGGGCTCTTCACACATGCCTTGTACATGTGTGACCTCTGCCTATGTGTCTCTTTCTGAGACCACAAGCGAAAGGACAGAGGCCTGTGACTGACGTGAGCTTCTGCCCCATTCCCTTGCCTTTCCCCAAATCCCCTGGAAACTCCCAGAGGGCTGGGACCTGGCTGATACCTCTGAGGGCTCCTCCTCGTGCCTGACACACCTCAGGAGCTCAATAAATGTCTATTGGTTGATGCATGTTGTACAGCTCGGCCCTGCACTCCCATCTCCTTGTCCTCAGGGAGGGGGCG